AAGACGTACAACGTACGTAATTACTACTGGTAATTTAAAAAGGTTGCATGTATCAGAAAAAACAACAAAGAAAAGTTGATTTGAATATATCAAATCCATGAATTTCATGTGAATGCATAAAAATCCATAAACGAGACACGTGAAAGTCTCATCAAGTGGTAACTCCGAGTGACTTCAGCTCATTTGTCATCCTTGATCGAGGTTTAGAAAGACACGAGAGCTTCTCTGATGAACACTTAAGGGAGGAAATCGAGCAGTCGAATTTCAATCTTCTACGCTTTCACCGGCGTTTGGTGGGGCTGGTGTTTTATAAAATGAAAGAGTGAATGATCAACAAAAAGCAGGTTCTGCAACAGCTGTAGTTTTTGCAGTTTCCTCTCCATGTGCAAATCAAATTCCTCAAACTGAACAATCTTGTCTTCAAACTCTTTTGTCTGCAAAATTAAAGTTGCCAAGAAACCACCTAAATAGTGAGAAAAATGCAAGGAATTATTACCAAACAGCACAAACCTGTTGACATTTGGAGTGGGTTGTACCTGAACAGCAATGCCAGATATTGCCTTCTCCAGCTCCTCGTCTTCCTTCTCAAGCTGCAATCTTACTTCAGAAAGAGCTCCTTCCATTGAATTTAGGTCGTCGCCATTAGATGCAAAATCAGATTCTGCAGAGGAACTGAAGTTCAGACTGGTCAGCATTTATCTTCTTTTTATTGATTATTACCATTTAGAGAGAGACTTGGGGAGAGGGGTTCTAATTTGGTCGAACTTGGTATCTCGTTTACTACGTTCGCACAAAGTTAAAGAAATGGACAAAACATAAATAAAATGACTATGGCAGGAATGAGGATGCCATGACAGCGGTGTGGCTATGATAGCAAGGATAAAATAAAATGTAAATATAAACTAAAATGCCAAGATGAAAACAAGGATAATTAAGGGTAGAATGGCTTCAGTCATTATGGGCCTTGTGGCCAGTGATTAAAAAAGGCTAATATCAATACATCTACTTCAATGACACAAGGCGTAAACCTGATTCAAAGCAATATAATAAATAAATTATAGCAATAGTAAATTATAAGATAGTTTATTAAAGAAATCTATAATAGAACATTTCAATAAATAAAGTTATAAAATTACAACTAGAAAATAAAATAGGTTAGGACGTGTAAGGGATCTTCATTTCTGTTCACTAATCTCCAATTCTTTTTCTTCCTAGTTTTCAGGGTTGAGCTCTGTTTCAAACCCCCCCAAAATTCCTAATGACATTTACCTAAGAGCCCTGAGGTGTATGCCTCAGTTAGTAATTAAATAATATATCATTATTTGTATTAATTTCTAATTTTGATATTCATTTTATTAATCATTGCTAGGGTTTGATTTAATAGCTTTTATTAGATATTTCTTACCTATAGTTGAATCTTTAAAACCTTATATAAAAAGGGTCTTATACTTTGTAATAAATATAACTTCAATAATGAAACAAATTGATATTCTCCCCCAATTTCTCTCTATTCTCTCCCTCTTCTTCTCTTCCCTTTCCCCTTCTCATATAATTGTTCTATTGCATCCAACGTCAATTTAGTATTAGAGCCATCGTCTCCTTTGTTTGAACAGTATAAAAATACAAGAAGAATTCAACTCGACAGCAATTAAGGGCACAATTTTTTGTTTTTCATTATAGCAGTTTCCAAAAAAATAAATAAATAAAATAAAATAAAATTGCAGCAGTACATTCATCTTCAGTATAGTTGCTATTTACAGTTTCATTGAAAAAATAATAATAAAAATAAAACAAATCGTTATGCTTCTGCTGCTGTTCAATAATCCCTTCGAATTCGTTGGAGTTCTTCAACAAGAACAATCTATATACATTATTCACACCCAATACCCAATCCACTAACTAATTCTAACCTACAGATCCAGCCTTAAACTCCTAAAATGGTCCATATTACCCATCAACAAAAACTTAGCCACAGCAATCCGTTTAAGCCCAATACAATAACCACAGGATCTGGCCTAACACCATATCCCTAATTAACCAATATCCAACCCATTAACCAAAATATCCATCTTCTAAACCTAAACACCCAACCCATACACCACATCCAACCCATCACACGCCCAACCCAGTTCCATCTGATCCACAATAATCCCACGCCCATATCCATAATCCACTAGGTCATTATTAACCAGCCCATCTCATTACCAGGTGTCATCCCCTCCTTCTCCAACAACCTTCCTCAAAGTCATCGCCTACTGTGGCCACATCACCGACCACCATACACACCAAGAAATGCCACCCACAATTCATAATCACCGCCGACCACCACACATCTACATCTACCACCACCACTTCATCCTAATCCCAACATACACCGCCTGCTTCAGGTCCGTCGCCCCTGCTACTTAAATCGAAAGCCAAACATATCTGATGAAACTAGCCAGCGAATTCCTCGCACTAGTTGGATTTGAACTACTTGTCAGATAGATTGTGTTTCTCTTTATCAAAATGAAAAAAAAAATTCCAACTATATGTTCCTAATGGCTACTAACTTGAACAATTGTACATACACATATTCTTCTTCAAACTAAAAAGTATTGAAATCTTAAAATTTGAAAAACNCCCTGTTCGAGCCATATTTTTCATGTTATCATAATGAGAAAATTGACCATTGGAGAGGGGGTTGGATCCTACGCATGAAACAACATGTCAACAAATGCAGTTGGACTTGTGAGATAATGGTCCAAATTTTTATTTTTTTTGTCCCAAAAATTTGGTTCAAACAAGGGCTTAGATTTTTTTAGATTTATTGCTAGTAAGATATAAATATATATTGAATTCAATGAAATAATGTCATAAAAGTAGACAGACAAAAAAATATACGATGAAATTGGCGGTTAAAATCGGACCAAATCGTTAGGTTTAGGTTTGAGTTTTTTCAAACCGTTCAAAATAGTTTGATTTAGATTTGGGTTTTACTCAAACCAATTTAAACGATTTGGTATGAAAATTTGTCAAAAATCGATAAAATCGGACCGCTTACACCCCTACACACATCATATGGAGGGGCTCATGCATATTGATTTATTTGTGGGCCCTCCTTAATGTGTGAGAAAATGTCATGCTGTATGTACACTTGTGTGAGGGTGTCATGCTTTGCGTACACTAAAAAGAATACACACAACATAATCTTTTTTAATATGCTAGAGCAAGTCGTACATCGGCGATAAACTTAGTCGAGGCCGAACTGCAAACAAAATTTAATCGAAGAGTCAAATCAAGTTTAATTTCAACTTCACCATTACATAAAAAATCGGACGATAACCACTAACCATCTCTACCAGCAGTTCACCAGAATTACTGATAAGTGTGTTTTTGCACACTTATTTAAATCACAAACATGACTTAATTACGAGCAAAATGTTTAAATTGTGACTTAATCTCATTGAATTCATGCAATGTAGGCGTTTCTATGGAAATGGTGGAATTCGGGAGAAAATAGTCGAAAAAGGACTAAAATGGGGCAAAGTGATAGTTCAGGGACCAAAGTAAAATTATCCAAAAGATGGTTCGAAGGACAAATCAAGGAAGTGAATGAGCTAAGTACCAATTTGGTGATATTATGAGATGATGGAAATAAAAGAAACAAGCGAAAACGGACTAAAGTTGAAGAAACTGAAAGTTCGGGGATCAAGTTGCAAAAAATCCATAGATGAGACGAGCAATGGAATGAAGATTCAAGAGTGTTAGATGTCAATCGGATGAGGAAAGGAGTCAAAGAGATGAAATATGGTCGAAATATTATCAAGTATCAACTTTCAGGCGAAAAAGTTATGCTCGTGACTTTTAGTCTCTATTTGAGATCCATTTTTGGCATAGTAAACATCAGAATTTGAGAAAGCTCCTTCTATCAAAAGTGTATATCTTTGAGTTTTCTTCCCAATTAACTTTGAATCACTTCAATCAGAGATCAAGAAAAAAAGTTATAACCAAAATAATAAAAGCTGTCCGGCGGAAAGAATCGCATAACTATGCGGTCGCATAGAGCCCTCCCAAGAAATTTTTCTCAATTTTTTTTTTACTCTTTTGGTAATCTAATTTTCACGCGATATAATCCAGAAAGAGGCAGAACGTATTGGAGGCAGAAAAATACTTCTTGGAGAGGATTTTGAGCACAAGAACGAAGATTTACACGAAGAGCTTCAAGATTTCTCAAGATTTCATAACCCGGTGATGCTTTTTATCCAAAATCTGATGTATTCTTTTATTTTAACTATGTTAGGCTAGATTTTCATGCGCTAGGAAATCGATGTACTATGTAATTTGATCTTTAATTTTCTAGTTTTGCAATTTGATATTAAGACATATTTCTATTATTTTGAATGATTTATATGCAATTATTGTTTCCACAATTAAGGGCCCGTAATTGTGTGAGTTTGGGTGATTTATTCTTGCATTCGAGAGAATTGGAATAGGTTCGACATAATATAAATCATCGTAGGGTCCGATAGGGGATAGAAATATCCGCTATGCCCTACGTGAATCTTTAAGTGTTCATAAAATCGCATGCATTTTTACATATGCAATTGTCATAAAACTATAGGCCGGTGGTATGTATAAATAGGTTTTATACATCTCGAAAGAGAGTATTGGATAGACTTAGGAACATTGATTCGTCACAATTGAAGTGTGTTGTCACATTGTGCAATTAGGGTTTTAAAGTGATAATTGCATGGAAAATCGTGATCCTGGTGTGTTTAATTTCTATTGATTACAACAAACGTGCGTTTTCCACATTTAATTTCATTCTAGAGTATTAAAAATATTTTTTTGCATACTTAATTTAATTCAATCATAAAAATTACATAATTAGGATTTTCTTTCCAAAATTAGGGTTTTCATTAGGTTCACATTCACTTTAGTAATTTAATTTCGGCTAAGGCGACGATCGATAAAATTGAACTAATTAATCTCTATGGGACGATATTCGAACTCATTTAATTCACTTTGTTATTTGTTAACGAACCGTACACTTGCGGTAGTTTTAAATCGAAAGAAATAATTTCGTGAACAAGTTTTTGACGTCATTGCCGGGAATTGAGTTTAGTTTAATTTAATTTCTCGAGGCACTAATTCGAACTTCAATTTTTATTTTACTAGTATAATTTTATTTTTATTTTAGGTTAAGGAGAGGCAATGGACGAAGGAAATGAGATTCTGGGAGATTTCTTAACTCCTCAGGTAATTCAAAGTCAATCCAGCATAGTATATTCACCGTTTGGGCATCTAAATTTTCAGTTGAAGACCAATGTGATACAGCTATTTCAAAATGGACACCAATTTTATAGCAAAGCCAACGAGAATCCACATACACACATATCTCGTTTTTTGGATATGTGTCAACATTTCAGATACCAAGAGATTTCGGACGACGCTATTAGGCTAAGGCTATTTCCACATACGCTATAAGACAGAGCGCTCGAATGGTTGGATTCAGTTCCGGTTGCAAGTATCACTACATGGAACGAGTTGGCAAACAAATTCTGCACAAAGTTTTTCTCCCTAGCCAAGATAGCGAAGCTGAAACATGACATATCAATATTCAATCAAGGAGAAATTGAATCATTTGACGAAGTTTGGAACAGATTCAAAAACATGCTTCGGAAGTGCCCTCAACATGGGTTTGATAAAAAGA